TAAAACACTTATTTTGAGTGAGAATAAAGACATTTTTGCCAATTAGGGAGAGTCTTCATCAATCGCGGAGACGAAAACGAACTAGACATTCTCAAGGACTAATACTTCAGGAAAGAACTCGTATCAACATTGATAATGACCTCAACGATGAAGAATTATCATCAAAAGAGAATATCTCAATATTTTCGTCGCCTTAATACATAGAACTCGTCGTAAAAGAGAGGCTTAATAAATAGAAATAGAAAGTTGGGGATAGAAATGTATTTCTTTTTTTTTTTTTGTTGTATCATTATTTAATAATGCCAAAAAAATCTTTCACAAGGAAGGATGTAAAAAGTTGGCTAATTGTTTGTTCCCCTCCTATCAATGCGAAAATAGCAAATAATTTTTTAATAAATAAGTCCGAGACATTAAGATTTCTAGGTAGGAATCCTCGCAGATACTTCTATTAGAACAATACAATTCTCTCCACAAAGTTCTCTCTTGATAAAAATTTCCGATTTCCATTATACTTTGAGCTAAACCAATTTAATCCTTTAGGCAATCTTAAAAATATTAGATGGAAGATCCAAAAAAAATTCATTGCTATGTTTTTAGAACAAAAGGAACACCATGAATTATATACTTCTTTACATTAATGAGGGTAGCAATCCATTTATGATCTTGACGGCATTTTCAATGTAATGGAGGTTTCTTAAGGTATAGGTTGATAAGCAATTTTCTCTAGAATGCGTTATATTTTGGCGACCCATTTCATATGATGCCTAGATTACTAATGGCATCTCTTATCCCACTTTATTACAGTTGATCTGGATTTTTTTTTTTGGTTTACAATCCCCAATATTTTGCAATAATATTCCACAGCCGAATTATGATCTTTTTACGCTTACATTTATTTGAACTTCGAAGTTTTACATAAAGCAAGATGTTACAGGTTGGGCATTCTCCTCTTGATCTTTTAGTTTCGCCTTATAATTTTCTTCCCGGTAGACAGCTTTATTACGCAAAGAAAATCAAGCATTTTAAGCCCAAACGAAGCGCCCATTTTCGTTTGAATGAACGTTATACAGGACCGAAAATATTCACAGTATGTAATACCGAATATCGAATCTCACAACTGAAGGCACCCTCGATGATTCAGCCGAAATATGAAAAAACGTGAAACAGTCGAGTAAAATAAAACGAGTATAGTCCGTGGTCATAATTATAAAAACAATATCTTTGTGCATTTTGCGTGCTATTGTATTAATAGAGCAATCCTTCGGAGAGAGATTTTTCTTACAATCAATATTTCGCATGGTGAGTTTTGGGATGTGTATGCTAAGAGGATTGATTAACGAAATGAGGAATAAGTAATCTAATAAGAAAGATATATGTATAGTTTCTTCATTAATATTATAAAACTCTAATAATTACAAAATTCTTATATTATTTTAATTATATATACTGCATATACAGTATAATGTCCTATTGATTACAATGCTACTCAATTTTGTTTGTACTATACATTAAATATAATTTGTAAATAAATGATATTGATTAAAATAATCTGTTTGAAATAATATTTTTACTTTAATGATTTTCTTTCTAATTAAAGTCAATATTAAACATATTAAAAATTACTCGTTAAAAAAGAATGATATTTGTAAATTTTTACATTAAGTAATAAATTTTTGTATTTTAAAGTTTTAAATTTTTTTAATAAAGTAATTTCTATATCCAAATTAAAATTTGATATTTTTATTCTTTTATATATATAATTTAAATTTAAATATTATTAAACTTAATATAATATAACTTAATTTGTATAAATTTATAACAAATTAACAAAATATTAAGTAAATTTATTCATCGCACACAACTCTAGGCAAATTATATGATGCCGGCCAAAATTAAAACATGTGACATTTAACGCAATGTGTAAAAAATAGATTTTTTACTACTAAAAAATTTCTAAGTTCTCAGAATATACAGGGGGGTGAAATAAATATTGCATAATTTATTTATCGATTTTATTTTATATATAGTCACGAATATTTATAA